TATATATATATATATATATGTTTTTATGCCTGTACACACGCGTACGGCCCTCACAGTGTTGTGCATCGGTGATGGGGGATGTGCGCAGACGGGTTCACACTTGTTTCTGTACACGTGTGGATGTTTCTTTGTTTAATGTGCCTGTGAAAGAGTTCGAAAAAAGACCTTTGAGGGAGAATTGAAGTCGTTTACCATTCCCCCTCTCTCTTATCTACCTATCTCTTTATATTAATTCCCATTTTTATGATAGTGTGACGACACGTTTTTTGTATCAGTGCGCCCATGCAGCTCTAGCCGCTACCGAATTGTAGTCACACTCTTGTTTGGGTAATCTACTGTTGCTACCGCCCTCCTATCATTAAATAAGCGAATTCTTCTGCGAAACATTGTATGTACATGAATACAACCACAAACATGCGCACAGAAATCTTCTCTCGTTCTTCTTTTGGGTTCTCTTGTCTCGGCTAGTAGATGTGTAGAAGTGTCTTTCATCTGTTCGTGATTATGTTCTCCACTTTGATAGGGAGGGGGAGTCAGTCATGTTAGGGTGGCGGCGCTCGAAGCAGAAAGAGTTCCTGTAACTTTTCTTCCGGGCTCTCCCTGTTGCAATTGCAGATAAATCTGTGGTTATTTCTATAGAATTACTTGCGGCGGCCACGAAGGGACCATGCATAAGCGGAAATCATCTCTATGGTTCAGCTTGAGTGCATATTATACTTCCCTGTGAGTCACATAAAGGAAGGATTTTTCTTCGCACCTCTCCTCCGGAGGCAGCAGGGCTTCGCTGCCGCAGCTCACTTCTTCATGTAAATTTATAGCCAATGCGCGGGATGCGGAGCTCTCTCTCTCTTTCTCTCCCCCTCTGAAGAGGGTCAAGGTGAGAAGGGAAGAATGCATGCATTTACACCACTGAGCCTCTAACGAATATGTGCGCCTGTGATGTGCATCCAATGGTATGTAGCAGAAGCGGCGGCAGCAATGTGACGGTGTCGTCAATGATGTTGTGCTCCTTATTTTTCTTTGTCATAGTTAACTCAAGAAGGTTATGCGGTTTTCTGTTGTTTGCTAGCTTTCTATAAAAGGCCTTTTTGTTGGTGTTACTCGATTTCCGGTATGGTTTCTATTCACACGGAGGGCGTGATGAGCATAATGGAAGCCCCCTTTTTTTNGGGGGGGGGGGGAGTTCCTTTTCTTGCACTCGCGGCATATCTCTAAGAGCATCCCCTCTCACTGCGTTGAAGGGATTACTTGGGCAAAGCGGGGGCAGGATCACTGCTGTGAAAGCAGTGTGATGCGCAGAGAGACACATATGGGCGAGGGTTAGGTCAGTCGCGGGTCTGCCAGAGGAACGCCAGCTTGCCATACGCATCTGTTTTGCCGCTTTTCTTGTTTCGATTTTGTCTTTTCAAGGTGCGACTCTTGCGCACCGTGTTGAGTGGCGTCTGAAGGCGGAAACCCAACAAAACATAAAGAGAGGTATATTTTTTGGTTTGTAGACATTAGACACAGTGATGAAGCGCTTTGCACACTTACATTTGCCGGACAGTGATAGTGACAGTGAGGATAAGGGCCGGGTTGCTGCGAAACCCGCGATCAGGGAAGGCTCCGAGCTGCAGCAGGAGTCACAAACTACGCCGGCTCATTCTGCACCTGTTGCTTCAGCTTACTCTGTCGGAGAGGGCACGGGGCCACAGAAACAACAACAGCAGCAGCAGCAGCAGCAGCAGCAGGAAAACCAGTTGGAGGCATCGTCTCGAAGCGTCAGCTTCCGGGTCGAATCCATAACAACGGCCTTGTCGCCGGGGAGAAGTGCATTGGCTATGACGCCGAAAGATTCGCTGCCGCCCTCCGATCCCATTGTAAGAGCCTCAGTGAGTATGAGGGAACGGATACCGGCACCACCACCTCTATCGAAATCACCGGAAGAGGAGGTGGTAGACCCAGAAAAGGAAAGCAATAGTGCTATTGGCGAGGATAAAGAAGTGACAGTTGAATTAGAAACCTCCTGTAGACACCGTGTGACTAAGAGTGATTGTGGGGACTTGAATGTTGTTGATGAGCCGCATGCAGTGACAGAGGTGCCCGCTGTGAGGACTGTGTCGAGAACAACGGTGAAAAGTATCTCAGTTTGTCAGAGCGCGAATACCTCCACTCTGGAGATGCCGACGCCGCGCTCGTCACGTGCTACCAAGTCGGAACGGTGGCCTCCTTTGCGGGGAAGTGTGCGGTGCGGGCTAACAGCCGACGGTCGTCAAACGTGGGTGCTCGTATCCCCACGCCTTCGTGCGCAACCACAAGAGCAACAACAGAAGCAGCAGCACGCCGACGCCACGCAAGAGGCATCTCTTACGTGGGTGGAAAAGGTCGTTGCGCCTCCGCCGAACCACCTTCCGAGGCGTGCGCTCGATATCGTTGCGGCGGTGCGGTTCAACCCAGGCCCTGGGGCCGCATATCCGCAGAGACACCCCAGCCCACGTGTGGTACCTCCTGCAAGTGGCAACCGCGCAAAGAGTCCTGCACGGCAGGAAAAGGTGCCACGACGCTTTGCTGTTCTCCCCGCGCCACGAGAACAACAGAAGAATGTCCGGTGTGTCACAAGACATAGCAACGACATCACAGGCGTTTATGAAGTTGGTCATGATGCCAAGGACCGTGGGGTATGGGCGTTGCTGCGAAAGTGGCTCCTGCGTAAATACAATCGGGTTGATGACGACTCACTCTGCGCGGAGCGCGATCTCGCTGCGGCGTTGCATGTGCGACAAAAGGCACTTGTTTCCGCAGCAGAGTCGCTACTCAAAGTGCTGCAGCCCGCGCTCACAGGTGAGGCAGGTGCCGCGACATCGTCTTCGCGACCGTTTCCCCTCCCAAATGGGTGGCGGGCGGTGCGCAGCATGTCAAGTGCATTGACGGATCCACTTTTAACCGGGACTTCACGCTCTATGCGCCGCATCAGCGAACTCGCTTTTGAGACAGACAATGGAGAAGACACGATGTCGTTTGAGGTGTTCTCAGGAACAGAGGTATCAAACTCTGGCCGCTTCATGGTGGCTCAGAAGGAGCGGGACTCCCCGGCGGCCCCCAGTGGTCTTGGCAATGAGGACGACGTGGCTGTCGAAGAGGTAGACTACTTGAAAGCCTTCTTCCACCTCGAGCCGCTCCCCCTCCATGACGTGGAAGATGCCAGTGGATACAATGGCTTTCTTCTTGGAGATGGAAGTGCTGCTGTGTCTGGTGTATCCCCACCAGGCACGACCTTNTGTGACGAGCCAGTTGGGCAGCGGCGGAATAGTGTAGGAAGCAACATTACTCTCTCACGCCAGCAGGGGCGGGAGGCTGCAGGGCTGTATGGCCTGTGGTGTACAGTAGATCCACTGATGGAGAATATGCCAGACAAATCGCAATCACCGATAACCGCGCGCAGCGGCCAAAAGAAACGACCGGATGTCCAAGCACCACAGTGGTGCATGCAGGTGTGTGGGGGTGCCGCGCCGCAACGGTATCACCAACCTGTGCTCTCCTTGGAGAGCTCTGTCGATTGCTTGAGTGTCACTTCCATGTCTACTCGAAAGGGGGTTGCACATTTCGAGGCTATGTTTTTTCCACAGCCACCTGACGATCCTTTGAGCAGGTTTAGCGTTAATCATGTGGAGGGTGCCGGTTCTGCAGCCGCTGCAGCGACCACAGCTCCCATCTATTCAATTCCTCTTACACCTCAGATCCTCAGTCCAGCTGAAGCCGCACGTTATAGGCGGGTGCTTGTGCAGCAAAAGCCACAGACTGTATTGCGACTACGAGATGAAGAGCAATTTGTTTTTGACAAGCACGTCATTAAAGACGAGCTCTTTGTCCTGCTTTCGCGCGTCACGGTGAACACGAAGCAGAAGTATGCACTCAATGTGATTGTGCAGCTTCTACCTTGTAGGCGTGTAGGCACGGGCGCTGATGCCGCCAGAGATTCCAACCTATCTGCAGCGGAGCTTATTGATGTACCGTTGCTTCATACAGACACGGCGGCAGCAGCCGCACGGATTGTGCACGGCGCCACACTCACTTTCACCGCCAAAGGTGCTTTTCTCAAGGCGTATCAGGCGCTGCTGTGGGCGAGCGAAATCAACATTACGGACGCCAGCCCTGCCTCTTCCACGCCACGTAAACTGTGCGATACAAGTGGTGCATCACCGTATATGACGCTGCGTTGTTTCGCATCTCTTCCCAAATTGGTGGAGGGTGCTGACACTGGGGTGTTTCATGAGTGTTGTGTGCAGCACGTGACATCGGTGCTTCTGCAAGAGCCGAGTTTCTTCAAGAAGTGGCCATACCGGCTGGAGGACTTTGTGTTGGACGCGTCACCAAGCAGTGGCAGATGCCGCCCGCTCGCCACAGCAGCGATTCTGCCGCTCACGAACATTGCCCTTACACCAGTCGTGGCGTTCGACGAGTACGGTGTCGTTTACCGTGCAGTGCACACACCATCCTCGCAGGTGTTTGACGTCCGTGTTCTGCCGAGGCATCGAACAAAACTTCTGTGGTCTGATGCTGCAGATGTGCGGGTCGACCCTGACAGAGATGCGGCGCCAAGACGCGTAATGGAGGCGGCGCTCGTGCTGGAGTATGTGTCACACATGCCGTTTCACAACCCTATCGCAGCGGTGCTTTGTGATGCGCACAAGTACTACATTGTCCACGCCCCTGTTTTCTCGGCGCTCGCGGAAAATAGAAGCGGTAGTAGCACCGCTGCTGTTACAGCTGCCTGCTCTGTCTCACCATCTCAGAAGCAGACAGAGCAACAGCAACCCCAGCCGCAAATTCACCACGGGGTGATGACGCTTCGTAGTTTCTTGGACAACGTATTGCACTCACCAAGCACTTCATTGCCTACCCGTTGGGAACTTGCTCGCCTCCTCGCAGCACAGCTGCTCCTGGCCATTGTCTCGCTGCACGGGAAGGGCGTCTTCCTGGGTCCCTGCTCCCCGAAGAGACTCATGGTCCAGTGGAGCCCTTCAGCTACTAATGGTATTGCTGTGAGTGGCGGTGGAAGTGACAACGATGGTACAAGATTGGAAACAAGAGACTTTCATCTGCTGATTCCTTTCACTGGGGTCCAAACTGATGCTTGGTTGTATGAACGACAGCAGCCCGGTGTGATAGAGTACATCCCACCGCGTTACCTTTTTCGCACCGCCTACCACGCAGCACTTACGGAGCCTGCGACAGGCGGATGGACATTTGGGGACGATTATTGGTCGTATTTGTGTCTGCTGTTTGAATTGTTCGCAATGAACGGTGCCTCACTCGTGGCGGTGCCACTGCAGCAACAGCTGCAGCCGTCGATGTCGAAACCCCGCCGTACGGGTAGAGAGGTATGGCAGCTGTGGAAACATCTGTTCAAGGTGCCACCTCTGTCTTCCTCTTCATTCTCATCTTCCTCATGCCCGCTGCCGCATCGACCGAGTGGGGTTACACATGTCCTGCAGCAGTACGTTCAGTCGCGGGTGGAAGCGTCCATTTTGCCAGACGTTGAGGAGTGGCGGATACTGTCAGAACAGCAGAAGTCAGCAACACGCTCGCCACGAACGCAGACGGAGAGAACTGAAGCGAACCTTAATTCCGGCGCGTCGGGGGCAATTTCTCTTACTGATGCTTACGCAGCCGCCTTGCGCTTTAACATTTCTCCATTCGTTGTGGAACCGAAGAACAACGGAGACCGCGGCAGCAGTGTGGCGGCGGAAGCAGAAGCGGCACTAGATGCTTCCCCAACGAACGCCTCCATGCAGATACTGACACACCTCTGTAAAACGCTTGTAAGCATTTCTCTGAAATCTACTGAGTCAGGTACCGACAAGACCGTCAGAAAGATGGCTTCGGTTCTTCTCGCCCATCCGTTCTTTCTGGGCATTGACTTTACATCGCTCTTCGATGGAAGTCACGCTTTGCCGCACGCAGCATTTCTCTGCAGGAAATTACGGAGCAAGAATGTTTTCAATGAGACAAACACCAACGGTGATATGTTGAATCGGCGAGCCTACTCTCCTAGGACTGGACAGCAGCAGCAGCAACAGCAATCAGAGACCCGGACCGTCGCGGGCGTACAGGAAACCTACATACCGCTTCTTTCTCTTCCTACGGAGTATGAAGGAGGAGGTGTTGTAGGAGTGCCGATGTCGAATGGTGGCACCACACCGCCTCGCTCGTCACTTCGAAATGCGCATGGCCGCGTGGCGAGTGTCTACTCCGTGAGCGAGCTGGAGGAGCTGAGACGTTTACGTGAACGCGTGCGTTTGGCCGTGAATAATACGTCTTCAAGAGAAGCAGTGATGCCGCGCACCAGTGATGTGCAAGAGCCGGATCAACAACAATTGCAGACACAGAAACAACCGCAGCGTGGGAATGATTCACTGAGAGTTCTGACATCCGCACAAGTCTCTTTCGCCGAGAGAAATGTGGGAGCGGGAGCGGAGGGAAACGGCGGTGCCGCTTACACTCCCACATGGCGGCGATTGCCCTCGCAAAGAGGGAGTGTGGGAGAGAAATATGTAGGTGACCGTCACGATGTGGGTTCGAGAGGACTCATGGTGCCCCTTCCACAAGATCTAACCAGCCGTTGCAACGACTACACTGCCTCGCATCCAGGTCCTACTTTTGTGCTTGCAGACCCACTTCGAAACCACAAAGCCGGAAACAGGAATCACGAAGAAAGAACTGTTCCGGTGGACGGTAATGCTGGAGAGGCAGACGAGCGTGACAAGCGATACAGCTGGCCGGAGGAGTATCTGCAGGTTGCGAACCTGCAGAAGAAGGGGTCGCCCGCTTCACAACCGTTATCAACTCCATTAGAGAGGTTGTCTCTGCTCGCAGAGGGTCCATCTTCTTATGCGCCGAAGCTGCACGACCCTGATAGGGATAAAAAAGCAAAGGAAGACTTCCTTGTTCCCTCTGATAGTGAAGGAGAAAACCGACCACACTATGGGCAGAGGCGTGTGGAACAGCGACGGCACGACCCGAGAGAATCCTTGCATTCCCACAATTCGTATTGTATCAGTCCCCATGCCAACGGACTTGTTGAAAACACTGTCAGGTCAGAGACAAGTGGGCTTTTTTTTACACACAGCCGGAGGAGTGCCTCACGGTCACCACCATTATTACAAGGTGGAACAAGCGAAAGGACAGGGTGTAAAGAGAGGGCTGACGACGGCAGTGTGGTACTGGTGCCCTCAGACGAGGAAGAGCAGGTGTTGAGGATCGAAAGGATGCCAACCCGAAGCTCCAGAAACTCATACACTGTATCCCGCCAATGGCACAGCAGTGTGAGTCACAGCAGCAGTAGTACATATAAAAGTTCCTCGAGAATCAACTCCATTTCGATGCCGTCCAAGTCCAAAGAGGAGGAGCAGCACCAGTTTCAGCTCCGTGATGAAAATATCGAGTGGGAACTTGTAGAAGATGATGACATTGAAGAGGTTGGGAAGAAACCTTTCCTCCGCGCGGTATGACCCTCACCTCAGCGATGCAACGGGAAAAGGCGTGGCCACATAATTCCTTGTTGCTTCTGAACTATTGTGTTCGTCCAAATTGGATGTTTCGTTGTGCTTTGTGGGTCCTATTACCTTTTTTTTTTTACCTGTTGCAGTTGTTGCTGCAGTGGAGATGGCAATAAGGTGTGTTGATCTACCGATCACACACAGACACACGCACCCACACATGGACTCGGGCACAAAAGCGATGACTTTTGTCATTTTGTGTTAATATCGTTGCCGATTCATTTTATTATACCGTTTTTTTTTTTTCTTTGCTCTCTTTCTTTTCCGATCGATCTATTAATTTAACCCATACAAGGAAGTAAGAGGGGCTGTGAGTTTACTCGCACGGAGGAAAAAAAAAAGAAAAAGAGAGAGGCGCCCACTGTGGATCGTTGGAGTGGTGGTGGGAGGAAGTGGCACTTATCGGCACTTGAGAGGATTAGGCCCGCTGCGCATCCGTCTCTTGATTGTTCCTCCCTCTTTGTCCCTGTGGCCCAAGCAGCAGTCTGCTCCGCCGTCACGCAGGCGCCAACGTACACACACAGACATACACACTTTCATATTATTCGTTTGCAACAAGGCCGCACCTTTACGTTGACTTGACGCGATGAACATTGACCTCTCATGCAAGTCCATCTGCGAGCTGTGCTTTGACCGCGCGCAAGCGACAGCGGAGGAGGCGCTCGTTGCGAGTCGCGTCCAGACGCTAACGGCCCGCCACAATCGCATCGAGCGCATCGTTGGCCTCGGTGCTCTCTTTCACAGCCTAACACACCTAGACCTCGCGCACAACAACCTCAGCGCCGTGAGTGACGGGGGGGCATGGCTCGCCGCGCTACCACCATCGTTGTGTGCGCTGAACATCTCGCACAATGGTCTGTGCGGTTTCAGCAGCAGCAGCAGCAGCGACGCAGTATGGAAGGGCGGCAGTGATGTCGGGGGCCCACATGCTGTAACAGTAGCAGCAGTGGAGGCAACCCTAGGGCGTCTTCGCCGCACGTGTCCACTGACGCTAGCTCTCTTCTTCAGCCGTGGCCGGTTCCCGCAGCTGCGTGAGCTTGACATTTCACACAACACGTTGCGCCTCACGCTAGCGGAGAGCGACGCGGTGGAGAAGAAATGGCTTGACGCCGTCGAGCGACCAAGCGCGGCGTGTGTGCTCGGCGCGGACGAGCATGCGGTTTGGCGGCAGCGCACCACATGCGCCGTGGAGGTTTTGCGTCTTGACGGCAATGTCCACCTGTCGGCCCTCAACGGCATGCTATGCGGCATGGAGGCTGTGACACACCTTCATGCAATGGGGACTGGCGTGGCAGACTTGACGGCGTTGTCAGCGGCGGCCACCTTTTGCCCGAAACTGCGCTGCCTCGACATGCGCAAAAGTCCTGTGGTTGACGCGTTCGTTCGTGCACCGCGGGCGACGATTGTAACATTTGTTGAGTTGCTGCTTCTACCCGCGCTCCTTGAAAAGGCAGTGAACTACGAGCAGTGGGAGGGGGAGGAAGGACGTGTCGCACTGCAGCGCACCCTTCGAGAAGTTACGCATCGTCACATGGATGATATAGAAGCTGCCGTTTTGAATCAGCAAGGGTGCGGCGGTGATAATCTGCCACGGGTGCTTTACGCAGCGCTGCTGCAGCAGGTGATCCCGCAGGTGGTGGAGCTCGACGACGGCATAAACGTGGATGCAGTGCGGCGGGGCTTCATGAATGCAGCACAGGAAGTTCTTCAACGCTTTATAGACATGAACGATAGAAGAGACATGAGGTGTAACAAAACCCTCAAGCAGGACAGGTTTATTGTGGACGACGTGTGCCCATCAGTGGAGGAGGGGAACAAAGAAGAGCAGCAGCTGCCTAACGTGACACAACAAAGGCAGGGGACGTCTCATACTGACGTAGACGCGTCGACGTCGTTGTCGTCGACATCTCAGGTTATGAATGGTCCAAGAAAGAGCAGCCCTGTTGTGCGAAAGGGTCGTGCATTTCTGTCCAGCTCTGTGGTTGTTGGTGACACTGCTGTTGGGCGTAGCGGACGTGAAAGGTCACGCAGTGCACACGGTATAAGCATGGCCGCTGCTGCAGCTGCTGCTTCCGCACAGCTTCGGCCTGCAGTGCTGGTGACGAAAAATCCAACCTCCGGTGTTCCAGCTACTTCGGAAAATAGTCAAAATGACAGCAATAATGTCCATAGAGAGTATGAACCGGTGACGACAGTAAGTACTATAAACGCACACAGAAGCAACAATGATGGTTACGGCGGTGTGGCTCTGGACTCCAGGAGGGGAGCAACACGCCAAGAGAGGCAAAAAGTTGCACCCCATTCACCGCTTTCTTCCTCCACTTCCCCCACCGCTGTTGCTATTGTTGACACACAGGGGGATAACAGCAGTGGTTGTGAAGAAAGTGGTAGTAGTGGCCGCTTTCAGCGTGCCCTAGCTGCTTTGACACCGCTGCTGGTGCAGCGGCTGCGTGGAGAGGGCGTGCCGAACAAGCATGCTGTCATGAATGGCAACAACCGTTCCTCTAGAGATGACCCCAACAACTCGGCCGCATCGACAACAATTACATACACCAGCACCACCAACACATCGGCTGCATACGAGGCGCTGGTGGAAAAAGCACGTGCCCTCGAGGAGACCCTCCTTGGGTCGCAGGAACGTCAGCGAGGTATGCAAGAGTCTGTGCTGCGACTGAAGGAGCAGCTGCAGCAGGACCGCCGACTTATTAGCGACCAGCGCAAGGAGGCGTTGCGACTGCGTCATGAGCTTGACGCACTCATAGCCGCGAACAAGCGCACGAAGCAGAAGCTAAAGAAGCGTCAGAAGGAGATTGCCTACGGTACGGCTGCGTTACAACGGCAAGAGGTTGTAGCGCAGCGCAAGGCCGCACTGGAGCATATTGCGCAGGAGGAGAAATCGCTGCAGCAAGCTGAGCGGCGCCTTCGTGAGAAGATGGCACTGAGCAGGGTGTGGTCGTACTCGCAGATGGCCAGCCCAACGGGAATCCTGGAGGGTGATGGGGGGGAGACGACGATGGGTGCTAGAAGCAATGGGCCGCATGTGCTGCGGAAAACTCGCGCCGACTTGCTTCGCGAAACTGCGGTGCGGGAGCGGATGGAGATTATGAAAAGGGATGAACCGCTGGCGTACAATGTGCGAAGGTTTCGCCCTGGTGAATTCCCCTTGAATGGTGTGGAGGAAGGCGGCAACTACAGGAGGAGCTCCACCACGGCAGTTGCAGCACTTCACCGGCAGGAGCCGGAAGAGCAACAGCGAAGCACATGTGACAGGAGGCAGGGGGAGGAGCGTATCCATGGAAAGACGCCGTGGCGCAGCAGAAAGCTGAGGAGGAGCAGAAGCAGCAGCGGTGACGCGGCGTCGTCGGCTCGGACGACAGAAGCAGTGGAGGAGCAGCAGTCATTGTACGACAAGGGCTACAACCCCTACTACGACGATAAAAGTGAAGGGGAAGGAATTCACCACCATCGGTGGATACAGGAGCTTTCACTGCAGCAACTTTTTGAAGAGGCAGCGGCTTTGCAGCAGCGGCAGCACATCTTGCAGCAGCGTGTACGGGATGTTGGCTTAGGTGGAAATACAGAGGGGATGCATGAGACGAATAAAGAGAGCCATATGGTGGTTCACCATGAGCCCATCAACGGTGATTTTTGCGTCCGCAGTGGCGAAACCAGAGTGCCCTTGGCAACGAAAACACCCCAAACATGTATTGCTGCGCTGCAGGAGAATAAGGGGCCCGCATCGTTTGTCACTGCAGATGACTCCTCTTGGAGTGGTGCGCATAATCCCAGCAGCACCCCAAATAAGAAAGATAACGACAAGAACAACGATGACGAAGACGATGACGACTCTGTGGATATTGTTGTGTCGGTGGCAGAGAACCAGACGCACAACGACTTTATTGTCTCTGTTGTGTCTCCCTCTCTAGTCAATGAGGAGGGCTCTGTGGGTCCACAGCCACAGCAGCAGGAACAGCAAACAAAAGCGAACGATCCTCTTGTACCTTCCGGCCCTCCTCCTTCACCGCCAGCAGCACCTCGTGCGGCAGAGGAGCACTTCTCTGTGGACGCTCGCAGTATCTATGCTGAGATAATGCGTCAGCGACAACAACAACAACAGCAGCAGCAGCAGCAGCAGTCAAAGACAAAGGAGACGCTAGAAATCCCCGGTACTGTTATTGACGAAGTGGGAGAGCCATCTCCAGTGGCTGTGGCGATAGAAGGTGAGCCGAGCAGTCTCTGCAAAGGGGCAGGCAGTCGAGGTCTGGCGGATGCGGAAGAGAACTGTGACGAGAGCGGGGCTGATGGTGGCGTTGAGACCACAACGCGACGTGCACTTTTTTCCTGACGCCTTGGTGCTTTGAAGTAGCTGTAATGCGAAGGGCTCTCACCAACTGAGGGAAGGAGAGAGAGAGAGAGAGAAAGGAAAAAAAAAACTTGAAGCGTTGCTGTTTCCCTCATTTTTTTTTTCTTTTTTCCTTGTCCTCCGTGAACCGGTCTCATGAGAGAGTGATACCCATCCTGTGATCTTTTGCAGTGAGGAAGGCACGCAGAACGCGCTGCTGTGCACCCGCACCTCTTGGATTCGGCCTTTCCTGTAACTCTCCACCTTTATCTTCTTCTACAACATGCACGCACACACAGAAAGAGTCCGAAGAAAATAAACAGAGAAATTCAGCGCTTCCTTAGCGTGTGTTTGCTGTTCGGGTATCCCCCCAACCCCTATCACCAGGGCCAGAAGAAGCAAACGAGGCATCATCACGGCAAGCAGGCAAAGACAACGACGGAAGACCGTGAAACTGGCAGGAAGGAGTAAAAACAAAAAACGCCACTCGATAGACGGTAGTGCTGATTATTACTACTGTCATAAAACAAAAAGAAACGTTGTGATTTCGGTGGTAACACCGAACATCATCATCGCGTCTGTCTGTAACACACGTGGGGGCTTTTAAAGGAAAACAAACATGGCAGAAACACCAGACGTGCTCTCCACGACACAGCAGGGGGAGCCACCACGGCAGCTGTATCAGGTGCAGTACATGTGTACCCATCAGGGCTACCAGGGGACTCTTACAGCCAACACATGTGGCTGTGAATTTAAAAGTGAATTGTTGAATGTTGATTTTCAATGGGATCGTGTGAAGTGGATTCGAATGGCAACGAAGCATGTTCGTGATGCACCGACCTCTGTGATTGCGATCAAGACAATGCGTCACAAAGGCTTGGCATCACGCATCATCAGCAGTGGGAAGTACTACTTCTATAACTTCAATGATATTGTGAAGGCAACAAAGCACCTTCAGAGACTAAAGGAGATCGCATCAGCACCAAATGCCGCTGCATTAACATCAGCAGGGAATCTTGACTCCCCCGACTGTGACGCCTCCGGCAATTTAGGCGTTCTACCTGCGGATAGCAGCAGCTTTGGTCGTGGCTCTTCCCGGGCTAATCAGTCACCGATTGTTCACAGTAATAGCAACCGCAATGTTTCTAGTCCTGGTATAATTCTTGGTGGAAGAGGGGAAAACAGGGCTGATGCTTCGTCGATTGCTTCTCCCGCGGATAATGAGAGTCTTGAGAATTATTCAATAGCACGTGTAAAAAGAACTAACAACGTGGGGGAGGACGTCGAAGAGGATGCTGATGGACGAAATGGTGGTAGGGTTAGCATGCCGTTTATTATCGGCATGACACGCCACACTGACGCTAGAGAAAGTGCCTCTGTGGTGTCACAACAGCCGCGACGTGGTAGTTTATATGTACCAAGCAAAACACGTCGCTTGGTGCCTTCGAGAACGCAGGAATCTTTCTTCACTCGCTGGTTTGGCAGCAAGGGTAGTGAGTTTAGGAAGAGAATCACTATTACTGCCGCCGTGTTGTTTTTTGTGGTTTTTCTATGTGTGTTACTGCACGTCCGTGGTGATAGAGACCGTCAGCACGAGGTGACTCCGCGTGAGAGAGTGGACATTGTTGTTCGAGAACTAGGGCAGCTGCATCACTGGCGCGAAGAACGGCAGCGTGAGGTGCTTAAAGGGAACCACCAACGGCAAATGCAGCACAGCAGTCCATTGCTAATGGTGCAGCCACCGCCCCCAGTGTGCGTCACGCTCGACGATATGACCGTCGTGGTGAGGGAGCTTCTGGCGCAGTACGTCGAGGTGCAGCGGGACGTTGTGTCGCTGCGTATGCATCGCCTGCGTCGCGAAAGTGGGGATCTCGTCCCAATCCTCGAGGCGCGACGTCGTGCCCTCTCAGAGGTTGCCCTAGGTATTGCCGCAGGTGGCGAGGAGCCTGGGGAGGGCGTAGGTGACGAGGATTGGCTACACGATGGGAGTGTCTACAAGCCGCCACGCCGATTTTCTGTGTCACGTGTCGCTGCCGATGTGCGTCGCTGGTATCGTTACGTGCAGAATGGTACGGGAAAGTTGCTGTGGTTACTCGGCCTGAGCAGCAGCAATGCCAATAGCCCTAGTGGAAGTTCAAGAGGCCACCCCTCGCACAACCCCGTTCACTGGCTTACATCTTTCTGGGGAGGCGGCGGTGACAGAAGTAGAAGCAGCGCTACAGCTGATATTGAGAAACGACAGCTCACACGCTACACAGAGTTCCTGGTAAACGGAAAAGTTGTCACGCAAGAGATTTTTGCCGAGGATGCCAAGGAGCGCCGCAGCTGCCTCAGGCTCACAAGTGAGCTCGTCCGCCTCTCACAGCTACTTGAAGGAATTCTGCTTGAGTACCTGGACTTGGTGATGGCTCCACAGCTTGAGATGCACCTCTACCAGGTCCCATCTAGTGTTGCCATGGCACGCGCCGAAGCATCAGCGTGCAGTTCGTCAGCCCATGACGCTTCACTGGGAGGAAACCGTGGAGATGCTGAGGGGTTGTTGACGGGTCGCAATACGTATCTTCTGCGCTCCATCTTGTTACGGCGCCACGCCCTCGCCTTGCTGCGGCTGGAGCCGCTACTACAGTGGGAGAAAGTTAGTCTGTTTGACACACACCAACAGAAAGAGCAACAGAAGCAGCGAAGATCATCATCGTCTCGTAAAACGTCTCAAGACACTAGCAATAATAGTACAAAGACATCATCAACAGTGGAGCCTACAAGAGAAAATATCGAGGCTATCCTGAGGGAATTCGTAGGTAGTATGACGCATAGTGTCATGAAGAGTCGTGAGTCAATACTAAGAAATATCCTGGAGGAGGTACTTTACTGGCATGAGCACGAGGAAGAGTGGCAGACGCTCGTGCTGTGGCGGCTTGAATCTTACAAAGAGGACAAGACCTCTGGTGAAACTCCTGCTACCGAGTCACGTCGTGTCAATGCCATGGATGATGTCATCGACTCACTGCCGCTGTTCCGGGGCTTGTGGTGCTTTTTGGAGAAGCCGGTGCGGCCTCCGCCGGGGGCATGGAATGGCAGCGATAAAGGCTACAGTGCCGAGTGTAGCAAGGCATTTGTAGACGAAAAGGAGACGGTCGAGAATAACGGTTTTACAGAGAATTCAGCTGAAAAGGAAAGCGTAGAGAACACAGTGGAAAAGGGATCCGAAGGGCTGGAATTGGCATTGGTAAAACCTGAAAAAAATGACGGTGAAGATCATCAAAAGCACGAGGAAGCAGGGATGGAGAGTGAAACGCTTGTAGCCTTCGACTCAAACTCAAGGCCGAGCGGCGAGGTGCTACCAGTAGAAGCTGAACAGATTAAAAGGGAAGAGAATGAGGAAGATGATGATATAGATGCGCATATTCGCTCACTCGAACTCACATCACACGAGGTGCAGTTGCGGTGGGTGAACGCTCTTGAACTCTTCTTGCGTGTACACGGCGGTCAAGGTGACCAGCTCGCCAGGAGCGGAAGCGACAGGAGGCGTTCGCATAAGGAGGGGTCATACAGTGATGCAGAAGATCAAGAGGATTCAAGTGGGAGTGAAATGTCACGGATACGCCAGAGGACAATGCAGCTGCTATTACAGGCTGAGCGCCTTTACGGTCGTTATCTACAAAACGGGGCGGCGTCCACGTCGCTCCAGTCGGGTGCGCTCCTTGAATTCATGCGGCATAACGCCGACTGCCGACGCCGCTCTTGGTGGGAGCTGCTGTGGCCGACGTCGTGGTTCAAACGTGACAGGGACGCTCATCCACTGGAGTGCTGTCTGTGGCGCATGAAGCTGTCCGACCCCGCGGTGCGTCATCTCTACAGAAACGCACTACAGCTACCGCTGGGTGAAATTGAGGATGTGCCGTGGATACTGTTGCATGTCTTGACAACACCGCCAGTTCTGCTCAGGGTACAATACGACGCACGCTCCGTGTTCTACGCTGCATCTTGGCTCCTCCTCTTTGCTGTCATAGCTACTGTTGTTGTTCTTTTCTTCGGTTGACGAGTGGATAGATGTTTGACACGAGGGGAATCCCCAGTGGAGTTGTTGGGTGACAGCGTGGTGCAGTGCGACGAACGGGGTAGAGAGCTTTGATGCCGGGGGAGTAATGAACTGATGGTAGTGGTAGACAACACAAAAAAGACAGCATACATACAGAGTCTCTTCGCTTGTTCAGCGCACGTAGAACATGCATTTCAGCATCGCCCTCTGTCGCTGCCTCTCAAGGCCCGCGCTGGTTGGTTTGCGTGCATGCCTCTTTGTGAGTATGTGGTGGCGATGATGGTTTTTTTTTTTGTTGTACATTTGTGTGATATGGAGCCGCAGCGTGGCAGGGGATTCGGACTACACAGTGGGGAAGATGGGGCGATGCATGTGGATGTGGATTTCGTTTCTTTTTTTGAATACTGTCTGAATGGGTACCGATGTGTGTCTCCTCTGTTTTTTCTTCGTTCCGTGATTTATCTATACCCCTCCTGGGGCCTCTTCCTCCTATTTCCCTCGGTCCCTGATATTGACGACCACCATGCATGCAGTTTTTATCGTACTTTTCTTTTTTTTTCTTTTTCGCCTGTGTGTGTGTGTGTGTTGCTCTGCCTGAATCGTTGTGGCACACTACTCTCTCTCTCTCTCTCTCTCTTGATTCGTTGCTGCTTGTGGACACGCCAAGTAGGGAAGGATAGGCTCGAGAGGAGCTTGTGAACAAAAAAGAAAATCGCACGTACATACTCGCTCACTGACTGAGGCGCATTTTCATCCCCAGAAGCAGTAGTAGGAGCAGCGACATATTCTTCACTAATAATAATAAACAGCGTACCAACCCACAGAAGAGGGAGTGACTACTGCTGCATCACATAGACAACCGCACAGCACACACCATGTCCAGCCTGACAGGAGTCTCTGCTGCCACTGCCGCGCCACCCATTGAGAATTGGGGCGCTCTCAAATGGAGCATCCAGCAGCAGCAACACAATGGGGAAAGCGGTACAGCGAATGCGAATGTTAAACACGAGGGTCATACCGATGAGAAGAACGGCTCGGGAGATGGCAATGGAGAAGCTCTGCTACAACTCGTTTCCCTTCCCAAGCCGCAGCACCACAGCAGCGGTGCACCCGCGAGTGTGGTGGAGAAGCCAATTGTGCAGATCCCTGTTTCTGTCATAGCGAGCGCCTCGGCAATGACGAAGAATGACCTCTCTCTCGCTCTGCGCCCGCAGTCTTCGGTATCGGCGATGCAGAGTGGCAGTGGCAACGTGTCTGTGGAGCTCACATCGATCCGCTTTGCAATCCCCAACGTGTGCGTCGGTCATGAACAGACGGAGGAGGCGGGTCGTGAGATCCTTGCCGAGGCGCAGCAGCAGCTGAAGAAGTACCAGTCACGACTCCTCGGTGACGGTGCAGGCACTGGGGCAGTGGCGGACGACCAACTGCTTGTTATGATGGCCGGCGGCCACCGCAAGGACGAACGCGTCATGGCGGTGCTCGATGATCTCACCTTCTCGTACCCTTCGGGTCGATACAAACTTATCGTGTCGAATTACGCGATGGTGCTCGAGGACAAGAAGCGGGCGACGGGGAGCGGCAGTAGCGTCGTCGCATCCGTGCCGCTCACGGATGTGGTACAGCTGTATCTTTGCGACATCCCCGATAGCAGTATCACTGACGAGCAGGAGGGGGACCTTGCGCAGTACGTTGTTGTGATTCTGCGTAACCCGTTTAAAGTTCGCACGACAACGTACAACCACCTCGTCATTTCTTGCCCCGCCGGCTTTGCGCTCGATGAAGCGCACCCGTGGCGCTGCCAGCTTGAGACGCAGGAAGAGATCGACCGCGCCCTCGCCGCGTTGCCGCACAACCAGGGATCTGCAGCAGCCGTGAAAACAGAAGACGGCGGTACGGCAATTAAGAACACATTTGCACCAACCATGTCAGGTCGTGTGAGCGAAATCCTTATTCGTGTGCTGAAGGCGGTGACGGGTGTGACCGCACTCGGCGGTTACAACAAGGAGTACCAGACAAGCCGCGGTCATTCGGTGCTGCGCTGCCTGCATCACGGCGCCGATGGTATGCTCTTTGTCCTGCACTCCGCCCTCCTCTTCCTGCACCGCCCTGTGACGCGCGTGCTGCTGAGCGACATTAAACGCGTGGAAATTGACGAGTCAGAGAGTGGCAGCGCGACGTTCCAGATGGTCGTGTTCGGCTCATTTGGCAAGCGCAACACCAGCGCCGCTGCGGAAAACAAAATCGTCTTCTCCGCCATCGACAGGAAGGAGAAGGCGGCGCTGTTGGCGTACCTCGAGAAGAGGGTGACTGTGCGCCGCATCGGTCTCTCTATTGAGGACGACGATGATGACGATGACGATGATGAGGAGGACGCCGATGATGAGGAAGACAGCGGCGATGAGGATGACGATGACGATGACTTGGACGACGATGACGAGGAGGACGACGAGAGCGATGACAACCGGAGGCGGCGTAAGCGACAGCGCAGCAAAGAAGGCAAGCACGAGAAGGGGGACAAGAAGCGGAGCAAGAAGGAAAAGAAGGAGAAACACCACCATCACCACCGCCACCACCACAAGAAGCACAAGGATGATAAGAAAGAGGCGGCGGCAGAGAAAGCGAAGGAAGAGTGAGTAGACGAGTAGCTCAATTTCTCTCTCACATACACATTTCCACGGAGAGGCGTTGCGGCGGCGGCGTTGTTGTGTGGCTGTGCGGCGCGTCGATTGAAGGGTGGCCCACACCGACAGACAGACAGAATGAGAGTCGTTTTAATCCACCCTCCCCCTTCCACACACTCATATTATAAAAAGGGTGTGGCTTAAAACCTCACACTAGAGCAATACTCGCGTCGCAATGAGCTTGATTTTTATTGACTTTTCTCCCATTTTCCACCACACAAGCGTGCATGCACGGCGTTACTATCCTTTGTTTTCTCTCTCACTATTTGGAATGGACGCACCAGTAGGTGACGACAAATCCACTCGTTCGTCCCTTCTCCATCTCGACCCANTGTGTTAGCAATAGTGCAGGTATGCGGCAAGGAAAGCGCTTCGCCTCTCCCGTCAGCACGCTGCCTCCTCACCAGCGGCCGCCTGCCGGAATGGGGCGAAGCCGGCAGCGACAGTTGCCGGAAACTACAGCAGTGGGAAGGGGGAGGGGAGGTTTGGCATCGCCACTGGGTGCACCGCGGAGTTTTTCGGCACGAAGTCGTACGGCATCAAACGATACGCGGCAATTGGGCAGCGCGATGGGTGAACGACGTGCGATGTCACGGGCCGCGTCGGCTGGCGCACGGCAGCGCAACACCGCTGCCGTTGGCACTGATGCGAGGCACGTAAGTTTTCTCCAGGAGCAGGGGAATCGGCTTCGCGGCACCTTCTTCTGCGCGGCGACCTCACCAGACAACACCAGCTATTGCAGCAGCAACCCGGTGCGTCACCTCCTCTCTGAGTTGGTAGAGATCAGTCAGACTCTGGCATCTTACCTCGAAGACGCCACGGCTCAACCACCACCGCAGCAGCAGCAGCAGCAGGTCACCTCTCCAAACGGTAACCCCACTCGTAAAGAGCAGGTCACGTTGAAGGCGCAGGAAATTGAACGCATTGTGAAGCGTGTGGAAGCTCATTTTGTAGAGAAAATCGCGTCTATGGAGTTCAAAGCTAAGGAGCAGGCCAAAACCATTGCGGAGCTTACGAGGGAGATTTGCTGTCTAAGGCAGCAAGAGGAGCAACCGCTCTCGCCTTCGGCGTCCTCCAGCAGAATGGCAGGCCAAAAAATATCGTCTCTTTCAGATCAACAGCAGCAGCAGAAGAAGAAGAGGGCGGGCAGTGGCCATATTAATAACAATGGTGTTGGTGACGAGGAACTCGAAAATCTGCGACGTGCTCTGCAGGAGGAGAAGCGGCAGCGGCTTTTTGTAGAAGAGCAGACGCAGTCCCTCACGGAACAGCACGGCCGTGTCGTCTCTACACTGGAGCGACGGCTGCAGAAGCAGGAGGAGCAGCTGCGCGAACTGATTTCTTCCCTCGACCATCAGCACCAGTTGGCGTCGTCGTCGTCGTCGCCGCCGCACTCGCGATCGCCGTCGTCGTCGCCGCATCCCCCAGCAGTCACCACCTCACCAACGCCCCGGCGGTTGTTGCGGCAGCAGCTTGCGCAACATGAGCAGACGCAGCTCACTCTTGAGGCGTACCGTCGCAGCCTGCGTGGCAGTGACGTGGCGAGGTCCGAGAACCTTCTCATTGGCGGCCGCGCTGCGAGGGATGGCGATGCCGATGTCAAAGATGATGATAACGGNTTCTTCGCGGGGTTGGGTCATGTGGGCCCGAAGCCTGTGCTGCGTGGCGCCGCCCAGAAATCGCCACAGCCATATTTTGGATCACCACCACCCCCACCACTTAAAGAACTTCAGCAGAAGCAGCAGCGAAGGCACAACGTAAATAGCTCCAGTGTGGTGGACGCCACAGCTGCCAAAGCCGGTGCGGAGGTTGACGACATCGCCGCCTTCCTTGACAACATCACGCAGGAGCTGGAGAGCATCGACGCCATTGAAAGCCAGCGTGAGAGGGATCTATCGGCGGCAGTGGGGTATCGGCGGTAGAGAATGCGCATGATATGGCTTCTTCCTGCTGTGCGTAGATGTGCCTAGAGACAGACAAATTTATACGCACACACAGGTATGTAGTCCTACTTTAAACAGGAAGCACGGCAGTTGAGATTCCTTGGATGCATGAGGTGCGGCCTGTTTCTGTTTTTACTGATGATGCTACTGTGGTTACCCCTACGAGCCACATAAAAGGTGAGCAACCCTCAATACATGCCTTCACTCCGCAATGTGTGACGTGTGACTGTGCGTCTTGGCTCTCCATTGGACTCTCTCCATCGGCACAACACCCTTTTAAAGATGTACGCTCACAGACCCATGAACTGATGTGCCCTCACTTGAAGAGCCACCTCGTGTCGAACCTCCCTTTCACTTTTTTTCAAGTATATCCCATATCGCGTATATTTGTTTTATGATTTTCCCACTGGTGGAGAAATAAAACTTCACGGGACCTCCCCTTCTTTGTCTCGTGAAGTCTGTCTGTTCGCTCTTTTCTTTTCTTTTATTCCTAACTGTCTTTCTCTCTCTCTTTACTTATTCTTCCTCACGTTGAATTGGTGTACCTAATAAAGAAAGGGAAGAAGAAAGCGGTTGGGATGTACGCTGTTGGCATTTCTCTGGGGTCCACCAGCGCCGTTGTGACTGTGGCTTNCCGCCACGACCGCCACAGCAGCAGCGGCGGATACCGCGGCGCCGATTCGGGTTACCGCAAACTCCGCCGGCCACCGCACCACACCGGTGATGGCTGCGTTTGCAGAGCACGACGAATTACTCTTTGGTGAGGATGCCCGCGCCTTGTACGCCCGCACACCGGATGTGGTCGTGCCGTACCTTTTCGCTTTTGCTGCTGTTGCCGCGGAGGAGCGTCACCGCGGCCAACATGGTGACACAAATAACGCGGGCGGAGATAATGGCCCCCACTGCGAGGAGGGGAAACCCCCCACAGGCATGCGGCACTGCCTTGAAGAAGCTGCAAGGCGCCACTACAAGGGGTATTGCCCGCTGGTGTGCAATGAAAAGAGTGAGTCACATCAACTGTGCTTCGCCTCGCCCCGCCAGGACGAAACGGATGACAATGCCGATGGAAAGTGTGGATTTCTTGCCGCGGAAGACATGCTCGTAGAGTTTTTCAATCACGTGAAGAAACATACAGTAGACGGTGCGTGTGGGCTGACCCCCACCGCCGCACAGTCACCAATACTGGAGGAGGCTCCGCAGCAAGAGCAGCGGCCAAAGATTGTCCTGACGGTTGTTGTGCCACGTCATCTGTTCCCAACGTCTTTGATTGAGCAGGGGGAGTCGGCACCAGAGGAGGACGGTAAGGACAAGAAAAAGAGCAACAGTACAGCCGTCCGACGGCGTGACGCCGTGCAGTGGGTTAAGGACGCGATTATCAGTTCGCATTTTGGCGCCGTCGCAGAGCATGTGTCTGTGCTATTCTCTGATGAGGCTGCAGTGCTTGCGATGGATGCCGTGCTGTGTCGCCCGCATTCAACACACCCGATGGCGGGCCGCTACTTCTTGTTGCCCCCATCTGCCGTAGCGACTACTCAGGCAGCAGGAGAAGAAGGGAAAGGCATCTCCGCCACCCCGTGGCCCTCTGCACGGGTGCTCGTTGTGATTTGGGGTGCGCTCGGTGTGTCTCTGACGCGTCTCCGTCTCGAGGCCGGTTGCGTCGTAGACGAACCGCGGCCGCTTTTTCTCCGCGCCACTCAGACGGCAGCGACTGCGCAAAGCGTCGAATCCTGTTGCATCGCTACCACCCCGTGCGGTGGTGGTGACGCAGTCGACTTGGCTCTCCGCGACCGCCTTGCTACAACGTTTGCGCAGCAGCAGCGGCGAGTGCTTGGTTACCAATCACTGAGTGACTTTCCCTCCCGCGCTCAGCGTCGACTGCTGCTGGCCGCGGAGGAAAAGAAGGTTGCGCTGAGCAAGGCGGCACAAGTGCCTGTGGAAATCGAGGCGCTCGCGGAAGGTGTTGACCTTCGCGACGCCGTGACGTTCTCGCGCGTACGAGTGGACGCTGCACTGCGTGGGGAGTGGAAAATCCTGGAAGCGTTTGAGAAGGTCCTTCGCGAATTTATTGAACTCATGCAGAATGAGGAGGAGGAGGAGGAGAGCGGTGTCATTGACGCGGTGGTGCTCTCCGGCGGTATGCTGCAGATGCCGTGCGTCGCGCAGTCCCTGCGGCACCTCTTTACGCAGTGTTCTGTCGCCCCAGGTGACGGGCGCCGCTGCTTCGCGCACAACCTTGTCATCATGGAGGCCGGCACAAGCACGACAGTTGTCGGGGATGGCAACAGTGGTGCTGTGGAGACGGTGGCAAACAGTAACACTGTGGGGGCCGAGGAACTCGTCAGCATCGGTGGCTGCCTCCACAGCTACCACCTTTCCCTCGCGGCTCTGCAGGAACGTGAGCACGGACGCCGTGACCGAGCTGCCGGTGGGAAGAAAAATAAAACAAAGAAGGCGCTCAGTCGAAAACAGCAGGAGCGAGCTGAGGGGACACGTCGCGTATGGCGTGCCCTAACGTATTGTAGCAATAATGACGACAACGATGATGACGGGGACGATGAGGAAACTCAGTGGAATGAAGTTGTGGTACTACAGCGCCCAATTCTTCTTTACACTCATAGCTCCATTGAAGCTCTGTCTTCTGCTATTGCTCAGCAGAAAGAACAAGAGGAAGAAGACGCTCCCTTCCAGATTCCTGCTGAGGCTCTGTCCGTGTTGTTCGCTGCCCAAACGCCACTCCCCGCGCGTGTTGTTGTGCCATTGGTCGGGGAGAAACAGGAACCTTTCGTTTTCTACTTGTTTACAGAAGCCCAGAAGCGTCAACAGCAACAGGTGCGTAGTGGGAGTGATGGAGAGGAAAATGTGCTTCGTTCGGTTGTGCCGTTGAGTGACACTGGTGTGACGCTGCCGCTACCTGAGGGCGGGCAAGACCCGAAAAAGTGGAAACGATGCATCGTCTTTACTCTGCGTGCAGACGGCAACAGGGAACCGCGGTCGGTGGAGAAGAAAGATGCTGCGGTGGGGATGCAGTTGGAGGCGCAGCTGGTGCGCGTCGCCGCGCACGCGCCTCTGCCGAATGTACTGAAGCCGACCAACGTGCTTGAGAGCGTCGCGGTGGATCTCTGAAGAGGACGGCATTGCGTAATATGCAGCCGCTATACATTGACAGGAATCGGATAACGTAAAGCAAAACAAAGCCGGTAGAATGCCCACACGTTCGTAAAGCTTAACTCTTACTCCTTCCTGTGTGTTTGGGTTTGATCTTTGTGATTATGAGTGAGTTGAACACAATGTGTCGCCTTCTGCCACATCGCGCAGCGCTTTGCTTCTCCTCATCTCTATTGGTCTATAGGGAAAGTGGGTAGTCGTGGTAGGTAGCAGGGGTAAAGGGCAGAGGAGTGGGAAAGACATTGGAGCGGCTCGGCACTTCACGGAGTGTAGGGAAGCCAGAGACATTCTTTACATTTCTTACGAAAAAAATATCATAGCATTACGGATAAAATGGCGAGCAAATCAACGGCAACAGCTACCGCCACGAGCAGCACTAATACAAACAGCTGCGGTATCAATAGTGCTACGAGTGGGAGCCAAGGTGCCGCTCCTGCGAAACCGCCTGGCATCGCCAATGCTGTACCACCAGCAAAGAAGAACACGCACCTTCTCCGCCTATCGTCATTCTACAGCACGCGCATCCCACTTGGAATCCGAGAGTTTGTGTTCCTCGGTCCGCTGCTGCTCATTACTTTCGGCATCGCTTACTACATTCCGGTGCTTGTGCCAATTGAGAAATTTACTCAGGGTATCACGCCCAACACAACACCGATGGCGGACTACAAGCTGGAACCCATCTACAATGAGCACGGCCAACTAAAGGGGTACCGCCGCATTTCGTGGCGTAATAATGAGAAGAGCGACCAATAGAGGTGTGTTTCGTGTGTGATCGGGGCAAGGGCAAAGGAGAAATATCATAATGATTTTCTTTTGTTGTTGCGACTGGCTTTCTCCCAACGTGTTGTGGCTAGGAGATGATGGAGATGGAGACTACAACTGTGGATTTTTTTTTTGGGGGTTGTTAAAACGATGCCCTGACTTTTTTCATCTCCCTTCTCATGCACATTTCACTAGTTAGCGAAGCGAGACATACGGTTGCACATGCGACTCACGCTTGACATCATCCGCCGCGCTCCACAATTCACCAACACACTGCGGCAGCGTGAGATTGATCTGCGAGGCCTTGGCCTTACGGTTCTTGATGAGCGGCCCCTGTTATTGTTGAACAATAGCTTCGATGTGCTGAACCTCTCGCAGAATCCTCTTGTACGTTTAGAGTACTTCCCCAGCGGCAGTACCGTCAACAGCAGCATTGGCACAAGTAGCAGCAATGGCGGAGCTATGCCGACAACGGCGGGGGACACCACCACTGTGGAGCCGGAACGGAAAATGATGCTGCGGTTGCAGTCTCTAATTGTGCACCGCAACCGTCTCTCGCACGTGAGTGTACCGACGTGCGCGGCGGTGCTGCCGAACTTGCGCGCCTTCTTGGCTGACCACAACGAGTTCCGTGAGCTTCGAGATCTGCTGTTCCTCTCGCACTGGAAGCAGCTAGAAATTCTCTCCATCGAAAACAACCCTGTAACCCTCCATGAGAGCGATGAGCGGTTGCGGGCCTTTGTCGTCTTCCTGTGCCCGAAGCTGAAGCTTGTCAACTACCAGCGTGTGACGCAGACTGACAGGCGTAATGTGGAGACAATGCGAGTCGAGTTCGAGCAGCGTGTGAAGGAGTGGCAACAGCAGTTGAAAGGAAGCGTCACGAGCAACGGCGCCGTGTCTGGTGCCGTTGTTGGTGGTGCACCTACCGAGAAGAAAATGCGGAAACGTGGCCGTGAGGCACGCACCGCTGCCACAGTGAGTAGCAGCAGCAGCAGCATGCCGAGTGGAAGCGTAGCACCCACCGCCGATGGCCCGCCGGTGCCTGCTGCACAAACCGCAACTGTTGCAGCCACTGGTGGTGCCGACGACGTAGTCGACAGCACACAAGCCCGCCTGGAGGCACTGGATGCGAAGATGGCGGCCGCAGAGACGGAAGAGGAGCTGTTGGAAATCCAGCAAGAGATCATGGAGCTGGAGGCGGCAGCGGCAGCAGCAACATCCAGTAGGGCTCGAACCTCGTGATTAAAGTGGTATCGATGCGATGAACTCTGCAAGCATTAAAAAGGCCTCTGCAAAACGCAGGGTCGGACACTAAGAACTTTGAGGCAGTGAGACTTGAGTGAAGAGAGGATACCTCTCTCTGTATTGGTGTGTGCCAGGGGAGAAAAGAGAGAGCAATGTCACTTACACTCAGAAACACAAGCATACACACATATGGCCCTTTTTTGTGATCTATTGTGTGCTGTTGATTCACACTTGTGGTCGTATTATACTTCTATTGTTGCTGTTGCTTCATTTTCTTGTTGCTGTTTTTCTTGGTGCGTGTAGCCATTTTTTGTCGCAGCTCACGGGAACCCTCATTCCATTCGCTTATCTATTCCTCTCGTCCGCCACGCAGCTCCACCAGAAGAGGAGGGGCTTGCGCTTGGTAACGATCAGGAGGAGAGTGGGGAACGTGGGATGCATTTCCGCACGAATAAACACATATATTTTCAGGAAGATAGTGTAATTTATTCTCATTTTTTTTATTGTTTTGGTTCTCGGTGAGGAAGGAGGTGACCCGCCGATATGTCGCATGAAGACCGACACCGAAATAAGAAGGGGACACACACCTTGGTGCGGCGTCTGCTGCCATTTTTGATTCTGCTGCTGGCGCTCACCACCACCACCATTATTCTTGTCACAAACTCCATTGCGACCGACCTGGTGTTCGACGGCAGCCAAAAAATTGACCGCTACCCGAACTACGCCCACGATAAACAGAGGAAGTATAATAACAACAATAACAACGGTCAAGGCCACAAAGTTGATAGAAGGGCCACCGTGATGCGTGCGGAATCTGAACCCCCCGTTACTTCGTTTGTCAACCCGTACGACGTCGGGTACCTCCTTTCGCTTGTGCAGTCGTCAACGCCTCTCGATGCCGGTCTCGCCATACCACTGAATGTGGGTGTGGCATACTATCGCCCCAAAGGAAGAGAGAAAGTTCGCTGCAATAAAAAAAGGTCCTCGCCCAACGACGAAACGAGACGTGACGCACGCCGCCGTATCATGGCGTACCGCTCACTTCCTCACACCACGTGTCTCGCGGCGCTCCTGTTGCGCCACTACAAGGACGTTGCGGAGGCGCTAGAGGCAGACTTCAGCAACGCGCAAAATCATCAAAAGCAGTGGGACATGAAACTGCCACATGACGTGGTACTGCCTGGTGAAAGGGATAATGAACGGAGACCGTTTTCCTTCGTTCCAAACACCACTGAGACTATCCAGCGAATTACACGCCTCTTTGAACGGCCGGACAAAAAGGACCGGCAGCGTCCCTCCTTTGACACACTCAGTGAATGCAGAAAGGTTGCAGGTATACTTCCAGGATCTTCTCGCCACCCGCGCGACGCCACCTTTTTCGACGTGGCAAATGTGTACTACGCCGGTGGACGCTTTGTTCTGTTTGTCCATAACAACAGCGATAGCGACCTTGGTGCCGCGGGCCCATCACCGCAGTTGGTGCCTCCACTTTCTTCCATGATGCTGCAGCAGGAACGTCTCACTGAGGACGAAGCGGCGGAGGCTATGCAGCAGAGTGTGATGCCGGCGGCCAAAGCCGCAGCCGTGACGCCGCAGCTCCTTACAAAGGTGAAACTGTGCTTTGGAACCATGTTTCCCTTCGTGAAAAATAGCTGGCCACAGCAAACACGTGATACGCTGCCATTATTTATCGTCAGTGTGCAGAAGGTTCAGGGTTTTGATGATACGAACAGCAACAAATGGGGTGACACGGAGCAGTACGGCGTTGGGTACTACCAGCCGCCGACGGACTTTCAGGTGCCGCACCACACCCTTGTGGAGACAGTCATGACGAGTTTTCTGTCGCAACAGCACTTCCTTCGCTCACGTACGGCGTATGAGGAGGAAGTGGAGCGCCTGCGCCAGCAATCAGGCTACGCGCTGGTGCTCACATCGAGACCGTACTACACTACAAGTGGTCCGTTCAGTCTGCACGGGTGTCACCTTGCCTTTGAGCGTTGCTTGACGAGCAGCCCGTGGGGTGGCATGTACCTCGGTCAGCTTCAACAATTTGCAGTAGCGCTAAAGAAGAAACAACAACAGCAAGAGTGCAACGGTGAACCAGCGGAGGTGCAACGGAACCGTGATATGAAAGAGCCGCTGGAATTTCAATACTTCCGAAACGACACGCTGAATCAGCATCATTGGGTGTATGGTATACGCGCCAACGAGACGCAGTTCGGGTACATAATGGACGAAAAAAGAAGTAAGACGAGTGAGAAAAAGCCATTCCTGCATTATGTGGTGAATGTTTCAGAGTTTCCGGCCATGACCAGTAATTTTTATCCTTCTAAAGCCGGAGATGGGTCATTGTTTTATTTGAAGAATCTTCTAGTTGGTTACCCGACGCATTGTGAACCTTTGCTGGGGCAGGATCCGTTCTATGCAGACATGGTGCATACGTTGTTTCGCCGTTTCATGCCTAACAACAAGTATGTCTCGTACGAGGAACTCCTTGAAGCGCTCTTGGCGCAGAAGGACATAGAAACTAAAGTGGATAAGCCGTCACTGCTTGTGTGGAAACAGTGGCTTGCACTATTCTATGTCAGCTACAAAGATTGCCAAGCGCACTTGGCCCAATTTCGGAAGCTGCATCTGACAAAAGCGCTTGTTGACTTTCTGCGTGAAGAAGGAAGGCTAATCGACAGCAACAGCATCAGCAGGACCAATGCTGCTATCAAAACGGAGGAGCCGTTGGTGTCTTTTCCCCTCGAGGAGGGGGGAGGCTCAGGCGGTAGAAGTAACTTCTACCACCATCTTTCACTGAAGGCAACTGGGAAAAGCGTTTCTGTTGATGCCACCACCAGCGACAGAAATACAGTTTCCGGTGTATTAGAATTTAGCAGTGTATTTCGTCTTTTTTTCACTCCCCTCGTGACGGAAATATCGGCGGAGGCTCGTAACCAGGTGAAAGACCGGACAAGCAAGAATGCTGATGATGATGTGCTCATATTTTACTCTTCTCGACACGGCGATTGGGCGCGTGACGTTATCAATGAGCAAAAAATGCTGCCACGCCTGCCGCTTGACGTGGCTGCGCTGCTCCACGAGAGGGCCAATGCACATGGTGGCAACGGCCACGAAACTCGAAAGCAATGGCAGCCACGACGTGTGCACCTGCGCATCGAGCACTTCAATAGTACATTGTCGCATGGGCGACAACTCTTTGAGCAGATGGAGGCACATCGTACCACTATCTTTATTGGTGCACCGGGGGCCAACCTGCTGAATAGCCTTTTACTCCGCCCAACAGCTGGCGTCATTACACTTTCTACGCGCCCCACCATTAACAGAGTGTTCTACCCAACGTCTGTGTTCCCGCGCTATGAGGAAAGCTGCAGTAATAGCAGTGTCGAGAGTTGTGCATGGGGAGCAAGTGGCCTGATGTGGCGCAGTGTTGCTCTGCAGCAGGCGTGCAATCGTAAGATATCCGGAGCGCGATTGTGCCGCTGGGGAACCGATAACACCAATAACCTGATACTGGGAGATGATGAATATCGGCGTCTTGTGATTGCGGTGGTGAGCATTGTGGAGGCGCAGGACCGTCTGCGACTGGGAACTTGATTAATTGGTTAAGGCGTGGTGATGCGCCGCTCTCTTTGCTATCTTGCTCCTGTTTAAATGTATCATACCGTTGAAAAACTTATTCTACCTTATCAATACATGCCTTTCTCTCTGCGTGTGTGGGCATTTGCGTTTCAACCTTTGCCCATGCTTTGCGTAACGATTATGTCTCAATTTATTATTATTATTATTTTTTCGGATTCCTTTAACCTGTTGCTGTTTCACATGCATAGTAATAAGAATTACACAAGTATGTGGTGCATCTCGCGGCTGCTGCTCTGCGGCAGGACAAAAGCCGCAGCAACTGCAGCTTCTCCTGTAGTTTTCTCCTTTACAAAGCGGCTAAAGGAGCTGGAGAGTGACCCCGAATGCCCGCTGAGTGGGCCAGAATATGTCCTTTTGCAGGAAAAACTGCAGCACTATCGCACACTGCAGAATACGTACGCGGTCAAGCAAGACGACATTGAGCGAGCGAAGCGTGCTGCGCACTACAGTGGTTTGGAGTTTACCCCGAAGACTGTAAGGAGGCCGACGACATCTAGGCAGGAAACAGGTCAAGAGAATTTGTGATACCCAGAAACCACTTTCAACCCCTGTGGAGTCTGATCTGAATGTGGTGTTTATGTGTGTATGAATGTGAATTTCAGCTCATTGTGTTGTTATCTTGTTGTGAAATTGCTTCTAGAGTGCCTTATGCAACTTTGCGTTTCTATCCTCTTATTTCAGTTCTCACGCTGAGGCGGCAGACCGCACGATGAGACGTAAAAGCATAAGCGCCAAGAGCAGCAAATCCGCATCGCCTGCGATGCAGATGGGCGCATCCGGCACGTTGCGCTCCAACTCCTTCGAAGAGACGCCGGTGCTGCCGGAGATGCCGCCATTTTTCCCAGACCCCGTCGCGCTCGACGAGGACGACACCCATCTCAGAGTCCTCCGCGACGAGCTCTTCCAGCGGGAGTACGAGTGCAGCATAAAGGTCCTTCAGGAGCACTTGGAGCAGCCAAAGCAAGAGCAGCAGCCAAAGCCGAAGCAAGAGCGTAGAGGCCGTTCCCGAAGCCGTGATTTATTGCAAGACCGCGGCAGCGATGATGCGCAAGTGGAGAGAACGTCATGCGACAAAACGACACCGTCTACAGAGTTCCTGGTGGCGTCGGGGTTCACGTCGGCGGCCCCGATTGTACCGAATCTTAACGACGGTTGTGGCGCTTCCTACCCCTCCTTTTCCGCAGCTTCCCCGATTAAAAAAGGGAAGATGAAGAAGCAGAAGAAGTCTGGCGAAGGCGAAGGCGAAGACACAGCCGAGCAGTTGCCTCTTGTCCCCGAGTTATCACTCTCTGCTCTACCAGATAATAATGTGGTGGATGGAGAAAGTGCGAGACAGATCGCCAGTAGTAAAGGAAGGCCCGCTACTGCTGATGTGGACGAAGGCTACTGGCGACGACAATTGGGTTTGCCGGAGCTTCCAGTGTATCTTTCAGAACCCATGCCACCAGAATTGGTCGCACTGGCAGAGGAAATTGGTTTTGCGAATGCAACACGCGAGACGCGTGCGATTGCCACGAGTGTTAATTCGCATTTGAAGGAGGGATTACCCGATGGCACCACTTGGGCGCCTCCCTCGATAATGTATGCCCTTGCTGCGCCGAAAACGACTAGTGGTGCTACGACTACTAACAATACTATAGCGGCTGAGGCCGTGGTCGCTACTGCTACTCCTCCTACTATGACTCCTCGAGGAACGCTTATGACGACTGCGTCAACTGGCCGTCAGTCCGCTGTCTTCCCATTGACAGATGCGTTTGTGCTGGAAGCGGAGCAGCGCCTCGCGGCGGAGATGTTCTGTGAGATGATCTGTAAGAGTATTGTCGAGTCGGCGGCAGAGATGTATGTGTCGCGCTGCTTTGACGCCGTGGCGACCGCCTACACCGCCTTCTCCGTGTGGGATGAGGTGCACAACGCCGTGGCCCGCTCCTTTATTCCGTGTGACCCACACGAGCCGCCATCGTGGGAATCGGAAATCGCCACCGCGCTTGCCATCAAACAGCCAAAGCCGCGACAGCAGCCGGGCGGCGCAGCGAAAATAAGGACTGTGAGCGCACACCAACCGTACTTGGGCCTGCTTCCAGTATGGGCGCCGTCACCGTCACTTCTAGACGCCGACGCAATTCTTTCTTTCCATCGCCGCAAAGCAGAGACCCAGCCACCCTTGCTTGGTGGTGCTGGTAACAGGAGCGACAAGAAAAACACCACGGGTGTGCTCGAGCGGCGGCATAGCTCCACCTTCTCTCGACTCCTCGCCACCTCTGTGGGTGGGGGTGAGAGGCAACGGCGAAGGAGTAGCGCTGTCACAACACGTCATGGTGCGTCGAGTGGGGAGGTATCTTCTCTGCAGCGTGTGAGTTTGCCGCTTGGCGACGGCCCTATCGACAGCCCTGGCACTCCACCCAGTCCGATCCCACTGGACGATTATGCCCGCTACGTCGCCCCCAGTACCGCTGAGGTTATGTTACGGCTGCAACAACAGCAGGAGGGTGAAGAGGCGAACAGAAAGGCAGCGTTGCAACGACGTTCAACGCGGCACGGACCGAGCCGCAAGAGTCGTGTCACCACGGCCCCGCCGGGTGGCGACGATCACAAGGATGACAACGGCGCGCGGGAGGAGGAGCGCGGCAGCAGTCCACATGAAAGGAGTAAGCCGCGCCCCCGCCGCGTCGCGTCGCCCAACAACGCGTCTGCCAACGCCGAGGCAGAAGCACTGACGCGGATGACGACGCCCGGTGTAGCAACGGACGACGAGTGGACAAAGGCACTGCAGAAACTGCCGCGTGGCTACTTGACCGCCTCGGCAAATGGTAACGGAACCACCGCGCGAAACCACGCACCGGATGCGATTGTGCTTATTGAGGGGGAACAGGCAATCGCCCTTGATATTGCGAAGAAGAAGCGGAGAGGGGGGAAATCGACAGGAGTTAATGCAGGTGCTTTGAAGCAAGCGATGATTCAACAGAAAAGGAGCACCCCCGCATCAGCTGAAGGTGGATTGGCAGACGACGGCACTGCAATGTTGCAGGTGAGCATCGCAAATGGTGGTTGTACGTCATTTCAGATGATGGCTCAGTCGCCGACGGTGAATGGGATAGCGAATGATGACATGGCGTCGCAGCAAGCGTCGCCGGAGACGGAACGGCGGGCCCCGGCCCGCACAGGCGTATTCTCAATCATTTCGCGCAAGCAGCAGCGGTTGCTGGAGGAGCGGCGGCGGCGGCAGAAGGAGGCAGCAGAATTGGCTGCGTATGAGCATATGTTTGTCAATTCTCCTGTCAAAGCGCCGGCCACCAACACTCCGGTGAGTGGGGCGACAAATGAGTGCGCCGATGAACAACAACAGGAACATCAAGAGGAAGAGGAGCAGTCATCGAATATCGTGCCAGAGCCCGGTGTCATTGTTGAACGGTGGCCCTCGACGCCTTCGGATAAGAATAAGAGAAGAGGCTCGAGTGCCACCAAACAGCGCGGTCGCCGCGGCAAAGCCCTTCAAAATTTGAACCGCCTGGCGGACGATGGCACCGTATTGGCGGATGGTGGTGAGTGGATTACGCCAGATGGCAAGTACCGCTGGGCCGGCTTTGACCCCGCCGCCGAGGAGAAGAGGGCTGCTGCAGCTGCACGTCCAGCGCCTGGTCTCGCCGCACCGGAGCGCAAACCGACTGTGCCGCAAAGGGCCACACCGCAAAAGCAATGGGATCAGCAGCGCGAAAGAGGAAACGAAGTTGAAAACGGAACTGAAAGTAATGCGGCATCACTTGTGGCAAAACCTCCTGGGAAGACTCCAGCCAAACCGGGGATGCGTCCTCCACGGCGTGCACTGCCGCAGGTCTCTGTTGATCGCGAAAACGGAAGAGGCGGCAGGAACGGAAATCCACAGGGAGAGGAGATAGTTGCAGCGGAAGCTATATCTGTAAAAACAAGGGTAGCAAATGCAGGTGTGCCACGCGGTTTAAAGAATGTGCCGCTACGTATAACTCTTCCCCGACTACCACAGCGGCCGATGAGCGGCGATTGTACAATGAGTGAGAGCAATAGAGCTCTGACAACACCTTCCGCTTCGGAGCGGAATAGGATACGACAACTAGCCTCAATCTTGCAGAGTGCATAGAAGGAAGCGGTTTAGGCACTGTGGGCGGATATTACTGGTCTAACACTGGATGCTCTCTACGTCCACTCTAACGACGTGATATTTGCTTTTTTTGTATGCGCCGCTTTGTTGCACTGAGAAGACAGGCACCTATTTCATGTAAGAAGACAGCTCCTTTTGTTATCACTCTTTTTGTTTTAATTTTTGTTTCGTTTGTGTGCACGTGCGTATGTGCTTCACCCTCAATGTATACATAAAGTGATGTTGCGAGGTGCCAATGGGGGCAATGATGTGAGGCGTCTGTGTGTGAGTCAGTTCTACGGCAGAGCTGTGCGAGTGCAGAAAGAGCGAAGGAATACAAAAGAGAGAAAGGTTGCTTATACGCAATGAGGAGTTTCAGCGTCTAGAGTCGGGGAGGCATCTCGACGTCCTGTGTGCAGCAGCAGCGCTAGCAGTCGTACTAAATAATGGAAACAGTGTGTCTCCGTACTGTGTCACATCGCTACGTTTCTCTCTCCTTTTCATTCTCTCCGTTTCCTTTCTCGCTCTCCCACACAATACACACAACGGTGGTGGTGCGTGCATTGCTGCAGGTAGGAAGTGACGCGGTGCACCATTTATGGTTCGGCGCAGCGACAGGGCCGCCGGTGAGACGGGGCGGAAGAAAAAGGCAGAGGGCGGACGAGGCCGTTTGCGCCGCCGCCACAACAGCAACGACGACGAGGAGGGCATGCTGGAGACGCAGCAGCCGGGCAAGTTGTCGCTCAGCAACCCGCTGATTCCGCCGGACCTTGACGAAGACATCGACGACGACCTCGCCTTCAACAGCGACGATGAGGAGAAATATGGCCATTTCTTCCAGAAGAAGTCAAAGCCTGACACCGGTGCTGCTGTGAAGTCGAAGAAAAAGAAGAAGGGCACGTCGAAGCGGGACGCGGAGGGGTTCGACGATACGGAAGAGGCGCTGGTGCTGCAGCAACTCCGCGCGCTTGGTGAGATTGACGACGCCAGCGACCTGGATTTCCACGAAAGGGACGATCGCGGCGATGACGATGATGAGTACGTCGACCTCGCCGACATGTTTGACGCGGCCCAGCAGCAGGAAGGAGGGGAGGGAGATGGCGGCAGCAGTAGCAAGAAGAAGAGCGGCACCAAAAAGAAAAAAAAGGTTGACGAGGACGGCGTGGCGAAGAAGCGGCGCCGCGCCCGCGTCACGGAGGAAGCGGAGTCCCTCTATGGCCCAACCGCTGTCGAGGGATCGTACAGCAGCGCACTGCAGCAGATCGTCGCCACGTCCCCGGCGACGCCAGCGCAAGCGCGCCTGCAGCAGACCCTCGCCAATAAGCGCAACCTCATCAGCGTTGACGTGGATGAACACACAAAGGAAAAGATGGTGCGCAACGAGGTGCGGGATGTCGTTGCGGCTGACCTCGCCAAATACAACACGTTCCTGCGTGAGCAGCGCGAGGCACGGCACGTGCAACTGCCAATGCCGATGCCGGAGAGCAACCCAGTACCGTCCACACTCGGCGCCATCGCCGCGGCGGCGGAGTCCCGCTTTGCCCCCCACGCTGACGCAGAGACCGACGCAACAGCAGCAGCGGGGATAAGCGGCAACGCGACGCGTGCGTCTGCTTTCCGCCTCGCGAACAGAATGAACGCGCTGCTTTCCGGTGCCGGACTCTCGCGACCGCAGCTCCGTGAGGCGGCTGTAGAGGACGGTGTTGTCCCGCTCGGCGACGACGACGATGATGGCGCGGGTGCAGCAGCAACGCAGCATTCCGACGGCGCTGAGGTGCCGGCGAAGAGTTACATGGCAAAGCTGAAGGCGATGCTGTCGTACGAGAACGCACGCCGCCGCCGTCTCAACCGCATCAAGAGCAAAACATACCGGCGTATTCTCCGCAAAGAGAAGGAGCGCGATAAGGAGCGGCGCGAGAAGGCATTCGAGTTGCTCCACCCCGAGAAGGCACGTGCGCGGCTGGCGGAGAAACTCATGAAGGCACGTGTTGAGGAGCGGGTGACGCAGAAGCACAAGAACACGAGCAAATGGGTGCGCCATGCGAAGCGCTTCGCGCAGTTCGACGGCAGCACGAAGGACGCCATTGACGAGCAGCACCTGCTGCACCAGAAGCTTATGCAGAAGATGGAGGAGGATGCTGACGAGGATGAATACCTTAACGCCGGTGGAAACGGCCGCGCCGACAGCGAGGCGGCGTCGAGCGAAGAGGAGCGCGTCGTTGACTACCTCATTGCCGAAGCATCCGGTAAGTCCAATCAGCAGCAGGATGCGGATTCTGGCGAGAAGGGGGTTGGCAAGAAGAAAGCCACCTCCGTGCTCTGGCGCAGCATTGACGATGAAGAGGATGAAGAGGGAGACGCCGCGGCCCGGCGCATGACGCCGACAGAGAAGGCGCGTGTGGACCTGCGGAGTATGAAGTTCATGCAGCAAGCCAGAGAGCGTGAGGAAAAGCGCTACGCAGATGTGCTGGAGCAGCTGCAGGAGGATATTCGCCGCGATATGCGCGGAGAGGCAGTTGACGGTGACGCGGAGCCACTGGACCTCAACGACGGCAAAGCCAAGGTGACATCCACGAAAACAAAAAAAGGATTGCCCACGCCAGCGACGGCTATTGTCGGCCGCAAAGCGTTCACGCAACAGCATGACGGGAAAAAAGGGGACGAGAGTCTGGAGAGCATTCGGCTGAAAGGCCAGTTCGGTATTGATGCACAGGCGGAGGCAGCAAAGGACAGTGATGACAGCGGCAATGTGCGCGAGGAAGAGGAGGAGGAGGACATCGACGACCTCTCAATCAAGGACGGCGACAGCAGTAGCAGCAACAACGGCGACGCTGGTGACGAAAGGAAGATGAAGTCTGCGGGCTCCATCCGAAAGTCTACAAAACGGCAGCGCGGTGCCAAGGAGGAATTTGCCGGTAGCCGAAGGCCAAAGATCCCCACTGCTGGCTCACTTGGCGATAGCAGCAGCGATACCGCTCCCTCTTCGGCGCGTAAAAAGGCGAGCAGCACGCGAGTTACTATTCTGCCGATCGGTACAAAGCGGTCACGCGGTGACGGTGGTGCTGAAGATGCAGCAGTAAGTGCCACTGACGTGACTGGCAAGAAGCGGGAGAGGCAGGAAGAGCAGCAGCTGCCGAATGACGACGGCGAGGCAACGCTCCAGCAGCAGCAGGAGTACCTCGTCGCACGAGCTTTTGCCAGCGACGAGGTGGACGCTGACTTCCTTGCGGAGAAGGCGGCGCAAGTGGAGGCCATCATGAAGCCGGCTGATAAGAACGCATCGCTGCCCGGCTGGGGCGAGTGGGGTGGCGCCGACGCGCGTCTCAACACCCGCCATCAGGCCAAGGTGCAAGCGGCGGAGCTGCAGCGGCAGATTGAGAAGACGGCGCTGCTTAAGAGCCGTGCCGATGCGGCACTCGATCACGTCATCATCAACCACGACGGTGTGGAGTTGGTGCCGGACCGCATGCTTCTGCATATGATTCCGAGACCCTTCAGTAACCCGGCGGAGTTCGCGCGGTCGATGCGGCACCCGCACGGGCCGGAGTGGAACTCGGCGCTCTCGTTCAAGGAGGCTAACCAGCCGCGAGTGGAGGTGCGCCAGGGCCACGCGGTGTTACCGCTTGATCTCTCGCTCCGCGGTAGGAAGAAGGTGGCGAAGACAAAAAGGCGCAAGACGGCAGCAGCAGCAGCAGCGTAGCCCAACACTAACTGTTCTCTATTGGTCATCTCTGTTTCGCTGCCTGTGTGTGATGGTTGTGTGCTGCCACGTCACTGAGGGCGGCATGCGTAAGTAAGAGTCGTTTGTGTAACGCGTTAACGGGGAGAAAAGGTTATTGTCAACTCACGTTTAAGTCGAGGAACTGCAGATGCAGCTATACCTCTCTTTTAAATATATTCTTTGCCTTGCGCTGCCGCGGCATTTGCCTATTAAAATTGTCTTTCTCTCTCTCTCTCTCTGTGTGTGTGTGTGTCTTGTCTTTTACGCATTTGTGTGCAGCTGCCCTGAAGGGGGAAAAGGATTCGTGACTGCTGGAGTCGTGCATTGGTGACAGTGGCTTCACTCCCCGACGATGCTGTTCCCAGTAACATCGGGGAGGCCAGTACCGTTTCTCGCTTTAGCGGCGACGAGGTGGAAGAAGCGGATAGTGCAATGTTACTGCAGGGCGCTGTTCGTAGTGGCCTTGTGAATTCTCACCGGTACCATCTTGATGGAGGAAAACAGCAGCAGGTTCAGGAGCAAACATTGTAACTCGCCACAGAAATCTCTGAGGCCAAGGATATCATTCATGATCTCGCTGGGGACCGCAATGAGGTGGATGTCGAACTCTGCAGACTAAAACACCAGTTTCTTCAGCAGAGTGGTCTCAGTCAGAGTGAAAATTAAGCGGTGGACACTCTCGAGCAGCAGAGCAGTGTGTTGGAGTAGGAAAAAACTCTGTTGTCCTACGTCCTGATGAGCCCTCACCCCTGCGATGTTACAGATGATTTGCGACGGGATGTTTGCTGTCGCTGCAAAGCACTGCAAACAAGAGGGGCAGCAGTTGTGCTGGTGTTCCCTGTTGGGAACGGTGCCGTGAAGCGGGCACATTGCTCAACTGAATCGCGGCGTACTACATCTCAAAACCTCTATTGAAACGGAGTCTGTATCGAATATCCCGGACTCATGAAGGGCTTGGAACCATGACTGCTAACGAGCTGGTATTAGCGTAGCATTTCTGTGCTACATCTATCGTATTTCTTTCCTTCTCCACCTTTGTGTGTGAGGAGGTCTGTGTCTTTGGGGTTGATTATCCTAATTCCCCCAATCTGTTCGGCTACTCATTTCATATGACATCTCTACTGCCACTACTACTATCACTGCTGCTGCTGCTGACACCTTTGCTCGCCTTTTTCTACTGCTGTTAAGGAAGACTAGGAAGTGTGAGTGGGGTCTCTGTTGAAGCACAAGAGAGATAAAAACAGGGTCAAGAACCGCCTGCACCCTCATTATCAATAATCATTAGCTAAAAGAGTGTGCAGTTGTGTATATACAGACATAGTGCAAAGCAGTAGAGCAGTTAGGCAATAAAAGGGAGGTGAGTTGTGCTTGTTTTCTTGTAACACGTGCAACTTTTTTGCTTTCGGGTGCGTGTTGTGGGGTATTGCAGGCAGCACAACACGCATTACCGCCACCAATATTATTCTCCACGTCCCTCACCGTGCTGCTTTTCTCTGCGTGCGCCTTTGTCTGTGAATGAGCACGCCGGAGAGCCGCATTGCCGCACTGCTGTCGGTCCTCTCAGAGGGTGAAGATGCGGTGCAGTGCCCGCTCGCCATATTCGCACGCAACCTGCGCGAGGCCTTCTGCACGCAGCGGCGAGGTGCCTACAGCAGCACCAAACGCGGTGGTAGCAGCACAGTCGGCCGCGGTGCGTCGCCAGATATGAGTGACGTGCTTGCCGAGCGCTCGCTGTCGCTGCTGCGCGAAGAGGAGGCGATCCTTCGCGACGAGGCGATGGTGCGGGTGGCGTACGACAAGCTGCGCGCCGAGTTGGCACGCGTAGAGGCGCAGCTGCAGTCCCTGGAGCGCCGCGCCCGCGAAGTGGCGCAGCAGAAGGGCTTTTGTAAGCTCGCCATGAACCTTCTGGTGACAGGCGAGGTGCCAGACTTCTACGCACCCGACAGCGAGCGTGTCGTTGACGCCCCGCGTGAGGACGTTGGCGTTACGAACGACACCGCCGTCACAACGACAGCGGATGGCACCGAAGCGGCCCCAGATGCCGCACCGATGAGTTCCGGCTCGCCGAAGCGCCCACGCCGCACTGCCACCTCCATCTCCACAACCGCAGCAACAACAACAACAACAACAACAACAGCAACCAACGTAGCGCAAAAGCCACAGCAGCAGAAGCAACAGCAACCAGAGCCGACTGACACCGAAGGGAAACTGAAGAGTGGAGACTCCTTCACGGGGACAGAAAAGGGTAATAGCATTAATGCTACTGGGGGCGGTGGGGGGAAACAGCTGTTTCCGTCGGAGAAGACTGCTACTTCTGTACGCAGCAGCAGCAGCAGTAGCTCAAGTCCGACAGGCAGTGCGCTTCTCGCAATGCTACGCCTGCCAGATGTGAAGGAGACGACACTCCTGCACGCCATTGAAAGTTATGATGAGCACAACTTTGGAAAGTCGGCGATGTGGTCTACGGCACAGCAGCATGAAGTTCTGCCGGTGCTTCTCGGTTTGCTGAAGCATCTCCCACTTCCGCGCCCGCCCATACAGCTGGCGGAGTTGCGCATCCTTGGCCATGTCTTCCGCGCCGCAGCCGCCAATCAGACTACGGCGGAACCTGCGCTGTCCTCTTCGCTGTCAATGTCCTTGACATTGCCAGAGTCGGCGGTGGCGCCGATGTTGCATGCGCTGCGGCAAGAGGGCCATGCAGTCGCTACTCTAACGCGCCTGCTTCATAGCGTTAACGACGATGTGAAATGTGAGGTGTTGGAGTGCCTCTCACCCCTCATTACTAGCAGCAATGGCAGCAGCAGCAGCAGCGGAAGTAGCACAGCGAGTGCCGTGGAAGTTGCGGGTGACAGCAAGCGCGCGCTACCCGATGCGCGAAAGGAGTTTGTTGTGGCTGGTGGGCTGCAGCCACTCGTGGGCATCGTTGCGTCGTGCACATCGGAGGCTGTGCTGGAACGGGCACTCGTGCTACTGTGGGGTCTGCTTTCCCGCAACGACGATGAGGAAAAAGTGCGCAGCGAGGTGCGGCGCCTCGGTGGGCTGCGGACGGTATTGGACCTTCTATATACAGACTCCATTCCCATTCTTGAGAATGTCGCCATGACAATCGGCTACATCACACGCGAGGAGGCGTCGAAGATAGACATCCGAGAGGCCGGCGGTCTGGAAAAGATCACCGCGACGCTGCGGCACCCGTGTGAATCGATACAGACAAAGATGGCGGGGGCGGTGTGGAACTGTGCCAGCAACGCGGAGAACAGGACTTATCTGCGCCAAATCGGCTGCATCCCCGCCCTGTTGGAGTTGCTTAGCTCACCACATGAGTTCGTGCAGGAAAACGCAGCGGGGGCGCTGTGGAATCTTAGCGTGGACCCGGAAAACAAGACTCAGATCCTTGACTACGGTGGCATCTCAGAGTTGTCGCAGCTCATTGCAAAGAGTAGCAGTGTGAGTGTGGTTGAGAACGCCTCCGGCACGCTATGGAACTGCAGCGCAGCGGTGGAGACTCGGCCGGCCATCCGCAAGGCTGCAGCCATCCCGGTGCTGTTGTCGGTGCTTGACCGCAAGCCCCACAAGACACAAAAGCAGGACGGCGCAGCAGCAACCAAAGACCGTGCACCGCAGCTCCCGATGAGCGAAAAGATACTGGACAATGTGGCTGGGACGCTGCGCAACTGTGCTATCAATGACCAGAATAAGCCAGCCATCCGTGAAGCTGGTGGGGTGGAGCTGCTGCTCGCAAAGCTCGAGCATGGAATTCTGCTGCATCCGTCATCTATACTCATGCCAACACTTGATAAGATGGCATCTACACTGTGGATTCTCACCATATCCCCGGAGATCAAGCACAGTGTGCGGTTGAGCGGCGGTATTCCGCTCCTTGCGAAAATACTCGAGGCAGCTTCTGCCTCTGCAGCAAAGAAAAAATCCACTACTCCCGTGGTGCAGCTGACTATGAGCGTGAAGGAGAAGATTGTTGGTATTCTACGCAACTGCTCTACTGTGCAGGAGAACAGACCGGCGATGGTCGCTGCGGGTGCTGTGAGGGCACTGGTTCACGTTGTGGAAGACAGCTATCAAGCCCCTGACGCAAAGTCGAGCACCAAGCAATTGTCATCTGCCTCACAGCCACAACAACAGCCATCCCTGCAGCTGAAAGAGACGGTGGCGTCAGCGTTGTGGTACCTCTCCCGCGACGACAAGGTGGCACCGCGTGAGGAAGGTGGCCTCGAGCTTCTCTGCCGCTTACTGCAGGAAGCGGATCAGCCCTCCGTGGTGCTGGAGCAGGCCGCTGGTGCACTCTCCTCGCTGACTGTTAACAGTCAAGAGAATCGCACCAAGCTGCGTGAGTTTGGTGGGCTGAATGCACTCTTGCGGCTCATAGAGGAGAAGGCGCCGCTTGCTTTCCCACAAAACGCGCGGGGCGGGAATGGTGCAAAGACAGAAAACAACACAATTGGCCGAGCCGCTGGCGTCAGCAGTGGTACCAACAAGGTGGAAAGCACGGTATCTCACACATATGCTGTGTTGAATGCGTTACTCGCAATCCGAAATAGCACCTCCTCGAACGAGGAGAACCTCCGTTCCGTTGCAGAGTGGAGGTACCGCCGTGCTGGGGCAGACGCCAAGTCGCCGCCACCCTTCGCTGCCTCGCTGCTGTACATCATTCAGCATGGTTCCGAGGACTGTGCACGGGAGGCCGCTCTGTGTGTGAAGAATCTGTGCGGCCACGCCAAAGCGCTGGAGTTGTTGTTGCAGCAAGATGCCGTGGAAGTGCTTGGGGGCCTCGCAGAGCGTGGCTCTACTGACTCTGTGCGACGGGCAGCGGCTATGACGTTGCACTCCCTTGCGCGAGCTCAGCGACGGTGAAGCCATTAGGGCGTGAATATGCGTTTACTTATATTTCCGCTGCTGTATGTATCTTTTTATGTGATGATGGGTATTGGGCGGAGNATTAGGGCGTGAATATGCGTTTACTTATATTTCCGCTGCTGTATGTATCTTTTTATGTGATGATGGGTATTGGGCGGAGAGGTGTGTGTGTGTGTGTGTGTGGAAGAATATAGGAAGTATGTTGGAAGTAAGAGTGGAGCGGAAGCGGTTTGCGCTGTCGCTGCTTCTGGCGATGGCGATGATGATGGTGCTGCTGATGTTGCGATTGAAGGCGGCAGGGGAACTGTGTTCACGGCCACTTTTCTGTGGTACCGCTTTGTGTCTGGCCTTGAACGGTCGGCTGTTTTTACGTCTGGAAATGAATGAAAAAGAGTAGAGTTTCAATCCTGTGTGTACAATCTGCCTGTATAGAGAGGGGGAGAGAGAGAGAGAGAGAAGTAAAAAAGAAAAGGAGAGAGAAACTGAGGCAATTGTAGCAGAGAAGGAGGAGGAGGGGATCGGAGGCGCCCACCCCGCAGCGCCTCCGATCCCC